CACTCTCTTAAAGCTGACGATTTATAGGGAGCGGCGCGTCGCCGCCAGAGATCCGGGCTTCATTAGTCAGCTGATTCCATCAATAACATTTTTGTGACAGGTGCCTCTGCGGTATCGCGGCGAGTGTGGCGCGGCGCCCGGCCGGCCAACGCTCCTCGCACCGCGCCACGCAGGCCGCCGCCAGCGCGCCCGCCCCGGGTAATCGGTATAAATGGGCCCAACTCTTTGAGAGGTGGGCGGCGGGGGCGGCCGGGGAGGCTCGGTCCGCTGACAAATGGCTCGGCGGGCGGGAGAGGGCGCCTGCCGGACAATCGGCCGCCGCCAGGGGGGCGCCGCCGCCGGCCGTGGCTGGGACGCGCGGCCGAGGGTGGGCCGGCGGGCCGGCAGGTAGACCGGCGGGGCCGGCGGGGGTTCGACGGCACCGGCGGCGCGGTAGAGGACCGGCCCAGCGGCCGCTCCACTGCTGGCATGGGTAACACGCTGAGTGTTCACTGTGCGGCGCGAGTTGTGCTGACTTTTATTACCATTTTGGCATCACATGTCAGTGGAAATGGGCTCCATCTTTTTATAATGCATTTTGACCGGACAGTTTTCAGGACGGTCTTGGATCAGCAAAGCTTGTTGCGAAGACTGACCCATCACCTCAGGGCAGCAGTATCCGCGCGACGTATAATTTGAATAAAAATTCCAACATGCCATGCAATGTCACAACACAGCCACGCTGTTCCAGCTCGACCCTCTCGTGGCTAGTTTCCAGTTGGCCGTCTCAGACGGGCCAAACAGCCGTGCGCGGTTTCTGCGGCGCGAACCCATATAGTCAGTGGCCAAAGTGGCTTAGAAGACATGCACATGCAAAAATGCCAAGCTGCTCCGCCCGCAGGGCGAGGTAGTCTTTCAGGTTTCAAAGCTCCAATGTCTGACTTAAGCCTTTGAGAGTCTTTTACAGTGTAATTAAGCAGAGTCTTAAAAAGAAATTTTGCAAAAAAAGCACTGCAATTTTGTCATTTTATCGTTCTGGATGCACAACCACATTACTCTGCAATATCCTTTTGCACATCCCCTCTGCTTAGGTTGTGACAAAGTGTTTCGATTGGAAGGCAAGCTCTTCGCATAATTTCAAATTATGTGCTGCGGAAATGAGATCATACCACATTGCACACCAACAAATGCCACTAATATGGCGAAAACGGGCCCCATTCATCAGGCGTTGACTTCCGCAAAATCGCTTTATCGAAGCCCGTACATTGCTCCCATACAGCAATTCTCCTTTTGGTCTGCTGTCAGTCGCATTGACTTCATTCTCCGTTTGCTGGGCAAATCGAATTTCTATTCATTGGCACACCAGCGCAGTGCAAGGCCAGAACGAGCGCCAATTGGTTGAGCAGCTGAACTGAATCGAATCAATTTTGCACTTGTCCTCGATTTGCAGTAGGCTTGGGAGAAGCAGGAAGAGAGTGACAGCTTTAAACGTCAATGAGTGACCTCATGACAGGATGAACGGTCCCTCGTCACCGGGTCTGAGCACCACGCGTCGTGCCAGCGCGGGCCAAAAAAGAACGTTCTTACACAGACCATAGCCTGCGGTGGATGACGATGTGATCGATGGAACACGAGTGGCAATATGAAGCTATGCCGGCCGACGTCCCCGGCTTCTGCTACCCAAATCAAACAATAAGTCCGACAGCGAGAAGATTGCTCATATCCCACTATAGTAAGTCGTTCCATCGTAGATACTACCGACGTTCCATCGTAGATACTACATGCCATCTTCTGAACAGAAGTGCCCCCGTAGCAGCAGCCATGGCGGGAAGAAAGCCGCGCCTGCCGCTGGCCTCCGCCAAGAGCGTTAATCAACTCCGGCTTCATCGGGACACGCGGGCGTCCAATCGGGCTGGTGATATACCGGCCGGCGCATCCATCATCGGGCCGTCGAATCGGAGCCAATCACGGCGTCTGTGGCCCCATACGGCCGGCGCGGCGGGCAGCCGCCGTGGCCGCCGGCGCCGGTGCCTGGTCACTCACCCGCCGCCGACAGCCGACCGCCGCCGACAGCCGACCGCCACCGACAGCCGACCGCCGCCGACAGCCAACCGCCGCCGACACTCGGCCGTCGCCGACAGCCGACCGCCACCGACAGCCGACCACCGCCGACACTCGGCCGTCGCCGACAGCCGACCGCCGCCGACAGCCGACCGCCACCGACAGCCGACCGCCGCCAACACTCACCCGCCGCCGACAGCCGACTCGCCGCCAACAGCCGACCCGCCGCCGACAGCCAAGCACGTCACCGACAGCCCACAGCCGACCGCCGCCGACAGCCGACCGCCGCCGACAGCCGACCGCCACCGACAGCTAACCCGCCGCCGACAGTCGACCGCCGCCGACAGCCGCCGACAGCCGACCCGCCGCCGACAGCCAACCCGCCGCCGACAGTCGACCGCCGCCGACAGCCGACCCGCCGCCGGCAGCCAACCCACCGCCGACAGTCGACCGCCGCCGACAGCCGATTCGCCGCCGACAGCCGACTCACCGCCGACAGCCGGCTCGCCGCCGACAGCCCGCCGTCGCCGCACCTGTCATACACCGGGAGAGGCGGCGGCCGATGGTGGGGCGTTGGCGCAGAAAGGCGTGTTTTTCTCGGCTGCAACATGCCTCGTGAGTCAGAGGTCGTGAGCCATCTTGTCGGTGTGTGCTCGCGTGTGCCACGCGGCGCGATCGTGCACCGTGTAGGAAGGAAGTGGTTTGATAATGACACATAAGCTACCGGTCACAGCTTTCCTGTGCTGCTGTTCTCAAAACAGTGAACTCCGGACTGAGGTTAGCGTGGCGCTAGCGCCTCCTTCCTGCCAAGTGTCTTTCCTCATCACGACCCCCGGTCCACTTCCAAAGCGGTGGTTAGAGGTCGACTCTCCTTCCCTCGACGTCGGCAGTTCGCCTCTCACCAGTCATCGACAGATCTTCCCGTGTCCGCAGCCCCAGCAGTTCGTCTCCCTCCCAGCAGCACCGTCATCGACAGACCTTCCCGTGCCCGCAGTCCCAGCAGTTCGTGTCCCTCCCAGCAGCACCGTCATCGACAGACCTTCCCGTGCCCGCAGTCCCAGCAGTTCGTCTCCCTCCCAGCAGCACCGTCATCGACAGACCTTCCCGTGCCCGCAGTCCCAGCGGTTCGCCGCTGGTCCAGCAGCGCTGGTCAGCGGTTGACCCTCGCCCTCCCAGCTCCATCAGCTGCGGCCCGCGTACCGCCGGTGCGCTCGCTCATTAGGTGGCCACCGGCGCCGGAGGCCGCCCCCGGCCGAGCGGGCGGACCGCTGCTGCTGCTGCCCTCCAGCCACTCATTCTCATGCACAGGCCGTGGCACATTAGTACCACACACGTGAGGCCGTGCCGTGCGTGGTACGTGCGCACGCACGTGCGAGGTTGTGCGTGGTACACCACAGGCACGTGAGGCCGTGCATGGTACACCAGAGGTACGTGCGAGGCCGTGCGTGGTTCGTGTTGCACGCGCACACTGTACGTGATCGTATACAGGCCATGCACGAAAACGTCCACGGTACATGGTTGGTGAGCAAGGTCATATGCACAGTGCATGGATATTCGGTTGCTTGTATACCAATGCCCAGATGCATGCCAATCACATACGCTCCCAGAAGCTGGAGAACATGAGCCCCAAATTGAAAAGAATGATGAAGTATGTTCTTATAATAGATGACCAGGACTCAAACCACGCAAAATCGCACCTTACCGAGAAGGGTTCTGCATCTGGCATGTTCATTCCGCGACCATCAAACACATGCACCGATCTGATGGCCATATGTGGCTATGCGTGACCAAGGTACACAACACACATCGGTGCCAGGCGGCATTCGGCCAGTGTTGCGCTGCACCATTGGTGTGAAGCTGCTCGAGCTGCATGGTGCTGGGCTGATGATCCTCGGTTTGGTGAACAGGCTGGTGATCTTTCGTCCGGCGAGCAGGCTGGTGATCTTTCGTCTGGTGAGCAGGCTTGTGATCTTGCGTCCGGTGAGCAGGCTGGTGATCTTTCGTCCGGCGAGCAGGCTGGTGATCTTTCGTCTGGTGGGAGCGTCCTCGCGAGGCCGGCTCGCCGCAGCTCCCGAGACGGCTGCCGTTCGCAGTCGCCACGCCGCAGGGGAACGGCCGTCTCGTGGGAGCCCTCACCCGGCTCCGGAGCACGCGGCGGCGGCCGGCTGCCGTCCGGCGCCGGCGGGCCAGCTGTCGCGCCAATGGGGAGATCGGCGGTGCCGGGGTCACCGCTGGCGGTCTGTGGTCGGCCGTGTGACCGCCCCGGCCGGCCGGCTCACCACTAACGGCGCCGCCCGGCCGGCCGCCGCTCATGGGGGACGGCGGCGCGCGCGCGGGCCGCGCTCAAAATACCACCCTGCCAGCACCCGATGATCAATCGTTCGTTAAAGGCTTTTGCGGAGCAGTGACTTCCTCCGTCATTGGCTGTAATTGAGCGCTTTGAAGAGTTCTGAGAAGGCGGCTCGCTGAAGGGAACAGGAATGTTCTAATTCAAAGCCTTTACGTTTTTTCATGAACTGCTGGCGATTGAAAAAGTGAACGGAACTGGAAAGTCATGGAAAATCTCTCAGGAGCTTTCTAACCGTCGTTGAAATATTTGCTGTCACAATTTTACGCACCAGTAAGTCGTAACAATGACATAAGCTGCGAAAGGTGCGCTGTTCAACAGAGCTCGCCCGCACGTTTGGTAAGCAACATTGCAATCTCCCCCGGCGGATGTGCATTCCCGAGCAGCATTGCACCTTGCAAATGCACACCCACCGATGGGCGATATGGCGTGCAACGTCGCGGTTGCGGCGAGCGCAGCGTCCGACCTCATTACCCTCATTGACCGTGCCGCTGGTCAGAGGCCGCGGGCGCTACCATTACCCGACCAGCGCGCACCTGGGACGCGCCGCTGCTGCCACCTGCCGGCCGGCGGCCGCACCAGGTGCGTGCCGCTCGGCAGAGTACGGCGGTGCGCTACGCGGGGAGGACGTGCGACCCCGTGCTCCGCGCGTTCACTGGCCGCCACCCGTGCGACGCCGCTCCAGTCTCGGTGTCGGCAGTGCCAGGACTCGGCAGTGTACTGGACGGCGGCCTGCGCCCGACCGACGACGGCAGCGTCGACGTCGACGACCCGGCCGTCGGATCGACGATCGACTCTAGGCGGCGGAAACGGTGCAATCGATCGCACGTGGGGCCGAAACACCTGCCCGGCGCCCTCCCCCGGCGGTCACAACTGCGCCACGTCGGCCGGTCGGCACGAACTGCTCTGGGACGCTGAAGTCGAGAGAGCCGACGAAATCGAAGGGGATTTGGCGCTGGCATTCGGCACGTTGTCATGGTAACGTGCTGAGTCCGACTGTCAACAAAGCGATGCTACTTGCAAACATGGACGTCCGGCGGGCGTTCCCGATCCTCGCCGCGCTGCTCGTCTGCGCCTCGGGATCACGGGTGGAGCTGGTCAACAACGGCTACAGCGGCCTCGTGATCGGCATCGACGACAAGGTGGACGTCCTGCAGTGCCACGACCTGCTGGGGAACCTGCAGGTGAGCTTGACGCCTCTCTCACGATCCCGGAGTCCGTCCGGTGTGGTGGGGCGGTGGCAGTGGTGAGCGCTACCGCACGGCATGCGTTGGTGTCGCCGCCTGTGAACCTGGCATGTGAAAATCAGCTCGGCTGGATTCACAGGCCGGCGGCGGCCTGCAAATAGCGCGAGCCGCGCGTTTTTGCCGGCCGGCTACCGGCCGCAGTTCCCAGCCGGGCCAGAGTTCACGTTTAGCGGTTAGTCGCTTACGGTCTTGATGATCATTACTGGCGAGGCGGCGGCCAGGCCAGCGCGGCGCGGCTGCTGTGCAGCCAGCGGCGGTGTCGGCGCCCCGCCGCCGGCCGCCGGAGCTGACCCGGCGGCAGCAGCGTCCGTGGGTACGGCCGGGGGTCGGCAGGTTACCGGTGGTGTTGGCGGTGCCGCCACAGCTCACCTCTTGACACGGGCCTGCACAGAGGCCAGAAGGTCCGATGCGGGCTGACTGGACCGCGACGACAGAGCTGCGGTGCAGGACACTGGTCGTCGCGGGGTTGGCTGTTGACCCAAGCCTGCGGCCTTGCTCTGGACCTCCGCCAGCGGGCGGCAACCTTTCAGTAAGGGTCAAGTGGAGAAGCGTGTAACCAACGTGACGGCACCAGACCGAGGTCGTTACACTGCGGTAAATGGCTTCCGATCAATAGGGGAAGCCGGACCAGAAAAGGTTAAACGGTTAACGGCCAGTTGCGGCGCGGCTGAGACGGCCGGCGCTCATCGGGGTTACGCCGGCGGAACGCACGCGGAAGGAGGACGCTCAGCGCAACACACTTCACACGTCACACTTCACTTACACCTGGCCGCTGCCTCCTGTAATTATTGCCCAATTAAATCCAGTCTGGAACTGATCACATCTGGTTCGCGTCCAGTGCACAGTCATCAGTCAATTGATGAATCCTTCTGGTGGGCACTTACCTGCATTAGTCTGCCAAGCGCCAGGTGATATTTATCTCATGGAGGGCCCTGCCATCTGCGTGTTTGATAACCTCAGAAGGAGGACGTCTGACCCTTGGGCCAGGCCTCGTCAGCAGTGAGGGGCGCGCTCCAGGACAGCGCGGACACCGTCGTCTCCTGTCACGGCGTGTCCCCCCCCCCCCCCCCAGCTCCCCTCAACCACGCCGTCTGTACGGGAGACGCCCCTCTCCTCCACAGACACCCAGGGGCGCTGCCGGCAGGGCAGACCGACATGATCATGTCGACCTCTCGAGACCAGCTGCACGGGTTATGGGTACGGCGCCCCCGCCCTGGCGCCGGCAGCGGACTGACGGCCTCGTCACACTTGCTGTCGCCGCTCGCTGGCTGGTGACGAATGGTGTACACGGTCGAGCCGCGTCCAAGAGGCAGCGACCTTTTGACACGACCCGCTAACAACTACAGATGAGGATTTCCGGGAAATACGTACATGTGGCCTTGCGCCGAGCACATGGTAACGCACAGTTGCGAAATACGTGATGTACATTGCAAGGGGGTGGCGAAGAACCGGAATCAGCTTAGCATGTTCTAGAGACGGTTTTATTATATTTGCATGACAACCGTCAATCCATTGAAACCGTTAGGTCATCAAAGAACGTCGCCTAAGAAGCATAAGAGCCCAGGTGCTACTCTCTTCTTGAAGCCCTCCGGCTGTCAGTGACGAATTATGCCTGCTATAACGCGTGAGCAGCACCTCGCGAACTGCCACCGGCACCCGCGGCGTCACGGGCCAGGTCACGACCCGCTTCAGTCCGCCGGAAGCCCGGTGCCGAGCCGACAGCGCGCCGACGGGCCGCGCGCCGACACGGCCAGCGCGCCCCGCCGAGCGCGCGCGGCTACGTGGCTATTTGTGCCGCCGCGCCGCGGCCGCGGCACGCTCCGCACGCGACTCCCGGTCACGAACTATCCGACTCGGCTGGGGTGGCGGCGATCACGGCCGCCCTCGGCCGCGGAGACGGCACTCAGACGCGCTGAGAACGGCACCGAGGTGACTGCGCGCTGCCCGCCGCTCGCGTCGAATGTGCCGCCGCGTCGGCTGCCGCGACTGGTGAGCAGGCGAGCGGGCGTCGTCGGCCGGGTGACGACACCGCCACGCCGGGGCGCCCGGCACAGCCGGCAGGCGCCGGCGCGGTCCGGCGGCCGCCGTCCGGCCGATGGCACCGCACCCGCGCCCGGCGCGCCGCCATCGGCTGCCGTGGAGCGTGACCGCCCGGATCACCTGCTCCGCCATGCGTGCCCCCCCCCCCCCCCTATCAGACAGCCGTCAGTCCCCTCATCTGAGCCCCCGCCGAGTGCGGCGGGTCGTTAGCCCTGCCAGCGGGAGAGAGCGATGCCGGTTAACTCTGGCCCGTCTTGCGGGCGGGGAGCCACCCGACGGTGTTTGAATTCCGCTCCGCTCCGAGCACTTGATAACGATTACACAGCGATAAATTAAGGAGGCTTGCAAACAACCGGCGTTGATAATACATTAGTGGCATGCTGTCGACTGATGCGTACTTAAGCGCTCGCAGCCCGCTGAGTTGGACAAGGTCGCTTCCGTTCCTCAGGTGCGGCGCGGGTCGTGCCCAGACGGCTCCTGCGCCTCCCTTGCGATGGTTCTGCTCCGGCCGCCGCCACCGGCGTCGGCGGGCGGGGGCCGGGCGTGCGCCGGAACCGCTCTGGCGGCGCGGACGTGCCGGCCGGGGAAGGCTTCCGGCGCGGGCGCGGGCGCGGGCGGGGCCGGCGTCGACCGGGCGTGCTGCGGGACACGCCCCGCTCCCGTCCGGCGGACGGCCGCCGGGCTGGGCGCACCGGCGCCGCCGGGAGGGGACACGTTACGGGCGGGGACCACGCGGAGGGAGCATGGCGCGGCCCAGGGAGACTGCAGGCACGGATCGCGCTGTACATGCGGACCGGGTGTTCATGGAGAGGAGCCTCGTTTCGCCTGCCATTCACAGGATTACGCGCGGTGTCAGACCGGGACAGCAGCGTCGGACCACGGACTGTGCAGAGGCTCGGACGTCTGGCCAATGTGTACCAAGGAGTCTGGCCAAGGTGACTGTGGGATTGTCGGCACATCTGCCCAGTCACCTGCAACATTTGCCCGCCTGGTAGCGAGGCCCCCGTTTCAGTCTGCGGCCCACCAGGGGTCGGAGGTAGCGCCGGCGCCTCGCCGCCGCGGCGTCTCCCGGCGCACGACCTGGCCAGCCGCCGCTGCCGCCGGCGGCGCCGCTGATCCGGCGTCGGCCGGCTGTCATCGCTTGAGCCGCCGCGACGGTCGGCCGGTGCACCGCCGTATCTGCCGGCAGATCGGGCCATTAGCTGGCCCATTACACTGCGGGCGGCCGGCGGACTCCTCCTGGGCGCTGCTCCGCTCGTCTGCGGGCCGAGGCCTCGCCGCGCGCCCCCGGCCGTCACGCGGCGCCGCCGGGCCCAGCTGTGGCTCGCCCCACGTGCGGCGCCTCTTGCGTACGCGCCGGCCGGCTGTGCGAACCGCGGATCACGTGTGACGCACGCCGAGTACGGCGCGGCACAGGTGTTGGACGTAGTACGCGCCGCGAAACTCGCCGGAGAACGAGACTGAGAACAGATCACAGGTCCAGTGGAGCCAGCGCAGGACTGTAGAACACGATGGAAGGCGTCCAGACAACAACGGGGACCACGCCATGGGACTGAGAGCTGCCATCCTGTCAGAGCTGTAGAACCAAACGCACCGGAAACCTCAGCCAACCAACCAGACAACCTGCAGTAGACGCCGATCAGCGCTCTCCGTCGAGGATCACAAGAAGCACGGAATAACGCTGGGTTCAACCAGGAAGCCCATATCGACCCACGCGCCGCAAAGGAGCACGGCTGGCGCTCACGGAACACGCGGCAGGCCCGCGTGCGTAGCGCAGGTCTCCAGCGGAACCGGTCTCGCTGAGCGTCGGCCACCGGCGGCGGTGAGCAGTGGTTAGCACCGGACGACAGGCGGATTCGTGCAAACCACTTGGCCTTGTGCATTCTGATACCAATTTCGATTGCGTCGTAAATTAACCTGATGTATTGCTCTCATTACCCTGACGTCCTACTGAGATTGAGATGCTATCATTGGAAGCTGGAGTTTTTGTGCGCGCTGCAACGGGCCTCATGGGGCGCGCGCCGGCTGCGGAGGTGATAAATGAGAGCGCGGGCGGCGGCGGAGCGTCTCAGAGCGGCGCCGACCGCTCCTCGGGCCGGGCGGGGTCAGTTGGGCAGTCCGGCTCCAGCGGCCGGGCAGTATGTCTCCAGCGGCTGGGCAGTCCGGCTCCAGCGCCGGGCAGTCCGTCTCCAGCGGCTGGGCAGTCCAGCTCCAGCGGCCGGGCAGGTCGGCTCCGGCGACTGGGCAGTCTGTCTCCAGCGGCCGGGTAGTCCGGCTCCATCACCGGGCCGAACGGCACGGGGCAATCCTTATCGGCTAAGGTCCGAGGCCTGGAGGCCGGGACGTGGATCTCTGTCCGCCTGTCGGACCCGGCTGTAGCCAGATTGTGCAGAGTGTAGCCAGACCCGGCTGGAGCTAGAGTGTACAGAGTGCAGTCAGACCCGGCTGTAGTCAGAGTGTACAGAGTGTAGCTAGACCCGACTGGAGCCAGAGTGTACAGAGTGTAGCCAGACCCGGCTGTAGCCAGAGTGTACAGAGTGTAGCTAGACCCGACTGGAGCCAGAGTGTACAGAGTGTAGTCAGACCCGGCTGGAGCCCGAGTGTACAGAGCGTAGCCAGACCCGGCCGCAGGCAGAGTGTACAGAGTGTAGCCAGACCCACCTGGAGCCAGAGCGTGCGCGTGTGTTATTGCGGCGGCCGTCTGTCCAGATGCCCCGAGTTTTCATAATATTGGTGCCAAAACCCGGAACTCATAAACTCTTAAAACCCTGAAACCCAGCATTCTAAGGGGGTTCCTTATAAAAATTACGTGAGAAAGCTTCCTTTCCAGAGTCAGCTTTGAAGCCCACTTGTGCGCGTTGTGCCTTCATGATCTCATGATCGGCCTTACGGTAAAC